TTTTTACAGTGTAAGTGGCTTGTGTCGTATCGTGTCCAATCATGTGCAAAGTAACGATAAACGTAACTGTAAAATTCGTTACCGTTACCAAAAAAATGTAACTTCGTTACCGTTACAGTTACCAAAGAAAAAAAGTAACGCAGTTACTAGTATAGTTACCAAAAAAGTAACTTGTAACTGTAACTTCGTTACAAGTAACGAGTTACTTCCATTCCCTGCAAATAACCATACATTCCGATCCACACATCATTCACATTTGTTCAACATTTGATAAACAACAAGGATAAATGATGCATCATGCGTAATATGTGCGAGTGCAAATAAACTTTGATTCAATCAGCATACAAATCTGTTTCAACAAAAATGAGAATTATTTATACTCACGTAGAACAATAATCTTCATCCGCAAGAAGCAGGGATGCCCGTGTCACGGACACGGACTCGAGCTTGTGTTGCTATCGGTTGTGCCAGGCCGCCGCCTGATGGCGTTGATCTCGATGTCGTAAACTGTCACTGATCTGGCATCCCTGGCAAGAAGTACTCGATAAACAGCCACGGAGTAAAAAGATCAAACTCGAGGATGAAGTATGGACTCGAAATAGAAAATCGATGCGATTTTAATGCCATTGCGGGAAAAGTTGGAAGTATATACCACATGATAACACGTACGAAACATTCGATCTTCTTTTTACTCCGTGGCGCCAGTTTAAGCAGCGCGGCAAGCGTACCGCGTCTAACGAGCAAAATTCATGACTGTATCGAAAGTTCGATACGCCTGTTAAACTGTCGATACATGTTGATATCGAAAGATAAAATATCGATACAAAATATCGAAAATCAAACTCAAAAGTATCGATATTTTAAAATATCGATACTGTATCGCACATCCCTAGGACGTCCTTGGACTATGAAATGAGCACCTCATCATGTCATACATATACCCCTGGACGTCCATTGTGGTATTATCGGGGATTAATTTAGGATATATTCAGGACTATTTCAGGATGATTTCTAGACTATTTCAGGATGTATTAAAAGTAAAATAAGATGACTACGTCCACTCATAGAAACTGATGTCTAGAAAGTATTTTCCACTGTTCAAGCGTTGTGAATAAGTGGTCAATTGTAAACGTGATCAAATTACTGTAAGAAATAAGCAACAACACGAGAAAAATATCAGGACGCTCCGAGTTTCGAGCGGAGTTCCAAGGCCTGGTCTCTCCTCTGAGTTGGTAGATTTCCGTCCTGCCATTGAGCCACATAGCCCCGACGCTGATAGCTTCTGTTATGCACATTTCCTCTAAATTTCTTACACTACACTGTTAATTTTTAGATAATAAAACTTAATTAATGTATATATAAATGTACTTAATACGTTTTGTTGTTAGCACATGATCACCTGATCTATTGACTGACCTTATCAATTTGACCTTGCAAGGTTCATATAATACAAAAATTGTAGGATTAAAAATGATATATTGACTAACCTTATTTAGTAATTTACTTACCTTATTTAATCCTACAATTAATTATTAACTTACCTTATTTAATCCTACAATTTTTGTATTATATGAAACATTTTTTTTTCAGAAATGCTTACTTTTCAAGGTATTTAAGGGATCCGGGACTTTTTCCACACCCTGTATATAACATTTACGTAAGATTTATTATAATGAATGTATGCATTATTTGTATATAAAAAATTTTTACCGAAGTCTTTCCCAAAGGACGTTCTGAGGATGTTCTGAGACTATCCTACAGGGACGTCCTAAGAAAGTCCCACAAGAACGTTCTAAGACTATCCCAAGGACGTGTTGGGGGTGTTCTGAAGATGATGCCCTTCATGGGCTATCCCCACAATGTCCTGAGGCTATCCCCGCGACGTTCTGAAGATGTTCAAAGGACGTCCTGAGGGTGTCCTTAAGATGATGCCCTAAGAATGTCCTCAGGACGTCCTGTGGAGATATGCATGTCCATAAAATGTCCAGGATGTCCTGGGACATATTCAGGATAATCCTGAGGACGTCTTGTGCTGTTAGGGTTAGCTCGTACATAAATAAATGAATGACAAACATCAAAATGTATCGATATGCTTTGTACAATAAACTTACCGGTTTTAAAACGTTCTGCTTGTTCAGCAGTTACAAATATTGAGTATATTTGTTGAGTCTCTGCATCTTCTAAATTTACAGGTATCATTATATCACTGGAAACTGAAGCAATATCACATTCACTAGTGTTGTACCTGGTAAGACACGGTTCGTGTTGATCCATAAGGATTCCGGGATGTGACGAAAGGAATTTGAAAACACTTTGACTCACTTTTCTAATTTTAATTATGAATAAACTTTACTTAAGATCTGTAGTACACTTTTCGTGTTAACTTTACAGTCAGAGTCACGAGTTTTACTATAACTGTACTAAGTTGACCTATTTGTCACGAGTGACGGAATGACGGTGTTAATTCGGAATGACCTGTAGTCGTCTTCCTCATCTTGTTTTTATTACTTAGGTATTACGTTAGTTAATTAGGTTGTCTCGCTCTGCATATCGCTTGACAATCGGTCCGAGCGTTTTAAATAGGTTGCTGCAGTCGGATTCTTAGTACCAATCGTGCAACTCAATTTCCTCCATAATATTTATGATTTCGTTTAATTTCTTAATTTCTTATTTTCTTTTACTTTTTAGGTCACTTGTGCAATTGCACTCGTGACATTCCTCCCCTCTTAGAAAAGAAAGTAAGGAACCGAACTTTCGTTCCTTTCTTTTTTAATTTTATGATAAAGGGTTAATAATTCTTTTTTCCTAGTTTATATTTCTTAATTTTCGGTTATAATTAATTTTACAATCGTTTCTACTCTCTAGTATAGCATACCGTTGTCGATGTGCCTTCGTGTTTCCGTTTGCTCCTTATATTGTTCTTTCCTTTTTAATATATACATTGTTACTACTGCTACGATGAATATTATGATCACAAGGTGTCCCAAACTTATCGGATATACGAAATACTTATTGTGTAATAGGCTGTCGTCCTTATTTGTTACATATTTATCTATTTCGGTTATATCTACACTTAGCTTTGGTAATTCTGTACTATCTTTAATAATCGGCTTTAATGGAATTCGCTTTGGGAGGTCACTATTAATTTAATTTTCATTATTAATTGTGAAGTTGAATTCCGGTAGATGCATTTGGATATATCTAGTGTCTGATCGTGTTTTTGTTCTCAATATAATGTTTGATGTACTTAGTTTACAATTTCCATTTAATCTAATTCTACCAGTCCTGCTTATTTCGATTTCTTCTTCCATTTGATCGTTACAAGCGATCGTTAGTTTTGTGTTCTGTTGTGTCGAGTATAACCATGTTTGCGCCTCCGACAGCGTAATCCTTAATGTATTACTAGAAAGGACGCATCCCTTTTCACAATTTAGAAACTGTCCTGGCGCATTTACAATTATTTGCACATTGCATGGTGCATCAGGCGTTATATGGTATATAAACAAGCTCTGCTGACATGTATAAGGTGTAGTATCTTGTATACAATTATTTAATTCGTTTTCACGCTTCAAGATATAATGATTGTTTTCCTTATCTATCGCAATGAGTGGATGATTTTGATAAATGTGAATATTTTCGCGTGATCATGTAGTGATAATGGTACGGCTTTTATTAATTTATATGTCAGAAATGCAATTATCGGGAACTTAATAATAATAAATACATTTGAGTCATCATAAAACGCATACATTGATATATATTTTCTTATAATACGCCAATTCTCTAATTTTATTGAGAAGGGAAAATGTAACCCTTTTGTGACGCGGCTTCTCTTAAGTCAGTTATAATGATTTCAAGAGGTAATACGTCAGCGGGTACTATTTCATTCTCCGAAAATTCTAAGTAGTCTATCGTTTTTTGTACATCTGCGCTTAAGTCTGTCATGATTGCTATTAAGATTTGTAAGTGTTCGTCTAAGTCTTCACGTTATGTGTATCTGTCTAACGGCAATTCCATTCTGCGAGTTACGTTAGTGAGTAAATTCTCGTTATAGTCAAGAGTCCATTCTAAATTATTTATGTGTCCTATTGTTGCGTTTAATAATTTTAATTGGTTTTTTGTCAAATGTTGTAAGATTTGTTGGTTATTTTGCAGTAGTTCTAACTGTTCGTTGATACATTTCGCATCGTTAGCGTCCATCGTCCCGAACAGTGTTTTGCTGATGGTACCGATAGCGTCTATTAGTTCGTGTCTGTTATTGACGGATTTATATATCGTCTTGAGATGATTTAAAGAAATTGTTAATTGTGCGTTGTCCTTTTCCTCTGTATGCATGAGATTAACGTGTGGGTCGTCCGTAACTGGATTCCTGCTCAATGCATCGGCATTCTTATTACTTTTGCCGGTTTTGTGTACGATTTTATAATCGTCCTCCTCTAATTTTAATCGCCATCTAATTAATCTAGAACTTGGATCCGTGACGTTAAATAGCCATATTAGTGGTCTGTGGTCTGTCACGATCGTAAATTTGGTTCTGTATAAATAGGGTCTAAAATATTTCACGGCCCATACTATAGCCAATAACTCCTTTTCGGTAGTATTGTAATTTTGTTCAGCTTTGCATAAAATTCTGCTGGCGTATGCAATCGGTCGGTCTTGACCTACGGGATAATACGACTCTTATTGCGTAGTCAGATGCATCTGTCGTTAATAAAAATTCACGTGTGAAATCCGGGTAATTTAACACCGGAGCAGTCATTAATTTTTCTTTTAACGATTGAAACGCATTCTGTTGTTCTATCGTCCATTTAAATTTTACCCCCTTTTTCGTTAAACTTGTCAAGGGTTTAGCCATTTTGGAAAATTCTTCAATAAATTTTCTGTAATACCCGGCCAATCCCAAAAAGGATTGTACATCTTTTATTCTTTTTGGCACAGGGAAATTTTTCACTGCGCGTAATTTTTCCGGATCAGGTCGTATCCCGTCTTCGGTAATGATGTGGTCAAGGTACGTCACTTCTTTTCGCAGGAACTCACATTTGTTCGGCTACAACTTCAGGTTGTGTTTTCTCAATCGTTTTAGTACTTCGATTAGTCGTTTGTTGTGCTCCTTTAAATTTGGTCCATAAATTACGATGTCATCCAAGTACACCAGACATTTCAGTCCTTGTAATCCCGTTAGTATGGAGTTCATGAGTCTTTGAAATGTCGCGGGCGCGTTTTTAAGCCCGAACAGCATTCTATTAAACTCAAAATGACCGTAAGGTGTGAAGAAAGCTGTTTTATTTTTTCGTTCTTCGTGCATGGAAATTTGGTGATACCCTGACACGAGATCTAGCGTCGAAAAGTATTTTGCGCTGCCTAACTGGTTTAGAATGTCTGTAATGTTTGGTAAAGGAAACGAATCGCCTATTGACAGGTCATTAAGCTTCCGAAAGTCCACCACTATACGTAGCTTTGGTTTACCTGATGCGTCATTTTTCTTTGGAACGACCAATAGTGGTGCGTTCCACTGGCTGGTAGTAGGTCGTATAATTCCATTGTCCAGCATTTCTTCAATTTGTCGATTTACCTCCTCTTTGTGTTTTTCGGATAATCGGTACGGTCTTACGTTCACCGGCGCACTATTCGTACGCGTGTTGATCTCGTGTGCTACCGTTGTAGTACATGACAGGACACCGTTTTCCAGATGAAAAATATCGCAGAATTCATCGCTAGTTTGCCATAACGCCTTTTTCTTCTCCTCGTTTAGATGTTCTGTTCGTAGTTGGTTACGCAAGTGTTCTCTCCGTATGTATATTGGATCAGCACTCTCATTGACGCACGGATCTCTTACAAGGGAACGGTCGGAACTGTCCCTCACCGATTTTAATGCGCTTTGGATATGTTGTAAAGCATCAAAAAATATTCGACCCATATTTTTTTATAGCGGC